TACCTCTTAAAACCCACCAAATTTCATTTGCACATCTCGACCGGTTTCAGAGCAATAAATTAAATCGTCAGTATTTAAGCAAAACTTTGACACCCCCTATCTCGGAAAACGAATCATTTGCGGACATACGTTTATAAGCAAACTGCCATTATTTTCTCTTGTAGAATCACCCCCTGAAATTTGTCGCACTTATTTACTAACACCCTGTATAAACGTAGTTGTTGCCAGACATATGTGATCGTCATGAGGAATACATACGTTGTATACGTCTATTTTTTTAATTGACCGGGAGGCACTGGCTACTAACTTTAAAGAGGGGAAATATGGTTTAATTTTATAAAACAAAAGCAGAGTAAATACACCTATAACTTTATTATATACGTACAACAGTCTTCAAATTAAACATGTGACAAATAGAAAGAACAACAAAAACATTAATAACCATTTAACATAAAATGAGTGCCAGGCTCACCTAGAACCCCTGTGGGGAAAGAGCATGGCAGAGAAACCCACGATCGTTGCTCTAACTACCCAAATATAAATACAAAACAACCACTAACAAAAGGCATAAATTAAGATTCTTTGNTTTGTGAGTAAGGGGAAGCGCGTCGGCAAGAGGGAATCTTTTCGCGCCAAACGTCGAGTGATCCGACTGTATATTATTTAGACAGTGTTATTATTGTATGGAAGCGGGGGAGGGAAACCAATTTGAACATTTAATAAAATAACAGTCATTCATTGATATTTTGTCTTATTCCCTAAGTGACGATTTTATTGTCATATCCAATCCAAAATTTAAAGTCATATATCGTCGTGAGCAGAATTGAAAAAGCTTTAAAATGAGGCATTACTCGACATAATGTGCCATTTAAAGTTTAAGGATACTTTACGCCTCTGCCTAAGGGGTTTTTTTAATTCCGATATTCCCCAGGTGAGAAGTTTTAATCGATATGAAACACCCTGTACAGAGAGGTAAATAAATAAATAAATAAATAAATGATTCCTTTAATAACTTTGATTCGTTCTTTGCATGTGGGTGAATAAAAACATTGTAAGATTCTTATAGCCAGATGCTAATTTAAATATACTGTACTTTCACCTTACAACACTACATAGGGAATTAGCTTCGTTTGAGTTCGTAAATTCGGAAGGGGGGGAAGCGCTGGGTGTAAGCGTAGTCTGCAACCCGACTGATGTGAGATGTGATCATGTACATCACAGCGCCGCACACAGAGGTCGACATCCCCACCGCTGAAGCCGCACGAGTTTGACCGACGCACCTCCTATGTAGTGTTTTCCCGTGAAAGTACGATATATCTCTTGAAGGAATTGTACTCTTCACAACGGGCCTTAAGAAAGGATTTAATAATAGGTACACTATTTTCTAATAAATAACTGTATATTTACTTTTTTTTTGTTTATATTACAATTTTGACATTTATACATTCAACTAAAAAGTAAACTTAAATAAATTGAGGATAACTATATACAGAAAAAAAATTAAGTCAAACAGTAATTTCTAAAAAATAAATACAACAAAAATATTTTCCTAGTCAAAATTTATATAAAATAGAACACAAGGCAATATTAATTAACTGTTTATTAGTCTTCACATGTTTCAATATAAGGTATACTCTTTTAATTACAGCGAAAAAATCGCACATTGTATTTCTCCTACAAATGATAAAAGCAGTTTATATTTCGCAACTACAATCTAATTTATATACAGTTATGATATTGATAAATATTTTAAACTTTTACCATGTGTAGTGAACATTTTATTTTAAATAGTAAGAATTTGCCATATATTTGTCAACAAAAATATTCTGTTAAGTCTTCAATAATGCCGTGACGACAGATGAGTGTACATTTGTAAAATCACAGTATATTTTCTAATTTTTGGCAATTCTACTTCTTCGTCTTACCGCAACCTGTATTTGTCCTGCCTCTTGAGGTATGGCTTTTAATCCTGACTGGTTCCTTTTATGTCTGATCTCTATTGTAGGCTTTTTATTTGGTTTCACTTAGGCACTAGCATTTACCATTGGAACAGAAAACATGCGACTGTTTTGTGTTAACTGAAAAAAAAATAATAAATATTAAAATTTGTCACAGAAGCAAAATAAGTATATAGGCAATTTTATTAGGTTTTTGGCAATTTAGCTTAAAAGAAATATATTTTATAAAGTATTCTGCATACCAATGTGGATGCAATTTTTTTTTAATCTTTTTATCGTGAGATCTATAAAACAGCAAGTAATAACAAAACCAAATTAGGAATGTTTTGTGGCGACATAATGTTCTTTAAAAATGACCTACAAAATATTCACTATAACCATCAGTGGACTGTAGACGGCTAGTCAGTGCGTGTTTTTTAAACAGATTTCCGTCTTTGGGTTTTATGAAATTTTATGACATTTTTCAAATCACTAACCAGTTACAAACTGCTGTTCTTGCAAAATTGTCATAAAATTAAAGAATTCTGAATAAATGGTGTATACATAAAATTTGGTGCACATAAAACTCCATACATTAAAATACGCATAGTGCCCTCCAATCAGGAAAAGGCGTTTAAACCACCAATTTTAAAGGTATAGATTGCCAAAGCGCGAAAACCGAAGTACCTGCTTTCTTAACCCTTAACCTTAACATGTTCTGTGGTCTTAACAGTAATCAGCATACACTTACAGTTTTTTAATTGCACAGATTATACATATAAAGGAGTTAATTAATTGTTGACAAAATATTAGTATAAAGTTGTTGACATATTTCAAACAGCAATTTTTATTGCTATAATTAATTATTACTTGTGCACTTAGTCCTCGCAACATGGAAATTATCAAGTATTATTTTAAAAGTAAAGCTCCAAGATTCAATTTTTTATTTTTGTATACTTGCTTTTGTAGACTGCAAATTGGTTTGAAAATTTGTCAAAAATAGTTCTCCAGTATATCCACAAAAAATAGACACACAAGGAACTTTCACGATCAAGTAACGATAGAGAAGAAAATCCTACGAATTCGTTGTTCATTGTGCCTCAAAGAAGAGAAATTCAGTTGCCATGAACATTTGATAAAACATGTTTGAGGGGAGAAGCGAGTCTGTTTTAGATCTTTCAATCAGTTCTCCGTGTTCCATGTCTTATGTATTGATGAAACCACGACAAACCAGATTCAGTATCAAAATGATTCAACTTATTTTCTAGAAAACTGCAGGAATCAAAATTCTAATATTCAAATAAATTTTGAAAATAAAATAAACGGTGAGGTAACAGTAGAAAAATAACATCGTTTTACATCTATCCAAAGTAAAATAAAAAATGAAGTGAGGCGAGGTTACACACACACACACACACACCGATCCAATGTCAGAGTTGAGATATGTATGAACCACGCTCACATTTTCCTGATTGGAGGGCACTATGTGTAAACTACACAAAATTTTCAGACAGACCTAGTAAGCGGTGAACTTGTTTGGTCATTAGTTGTTAATATACACTGATTCAAAATTCAGTACAAAGAATTTAGGGGCAAATTTTTGAGGTCAAAATAAGACTTTTCTTTTCTATAAACGTGGGTCCACAAATGCTTAGTTTTCGATATACAGGCTGTTAGTTTTTTATTTTTTTCGATTTCTTAGGAATAACTTCCAAACAGATGAATTGAATGTTGGTATAAAATTTGGGTGACAGGGGTTTTTTAGGATGCTAAATTTAAATATGTCATTGCTTTTGACACTACTTGTAGAGGGCGCCACCTATAAGGGTATATTTGAGTTAAATTGGCCCTAACTTTTTTACTACCCTGTACACTGACACTTCGTATTAGTGTGTTTATTCCCCTATCAATTTTAAGCAGAAAAGATATACTTGGTCAAAATCCCTCAGACCAAACGAGAGAGATTTGCTATTCTCAAGTTATTCATACAAATACTACAAGAATATTTAAGTGTATGCTTAAAAGTGCAATTTGTAAGCACATCAACAAAATTCTTTCCATACCACCTATGATTTAGTTTCCTCTGGAAGCCTAATACACTATTTTTACAAATAAGAACAATATAAATCAAAATAATAATAAAAATACATGTACCAAGCAACAACAACTAAATAAAAAACAAAATGAACGTTACCTACGTATTTACAAGAATTGTTCAAAATGCAAACCACCTACATCAACATATTTCCAACATCTTGTAACTAATTGAAGCTAATATCGTGTGGTAGCTGCAGTAGTTGTGATGTTGTATCTATTGAAATAGAGTAAACTTTCCTTTTCAGATAACCCCAAACATAGAAGTCCAGGGGGTTTAGATCTGGCTGGCCAAGACACTGGATCCTCTGCACCAGTACGGTTGGCATTTGGCATTTGGTCTTCTACCTATACATCGCCCCATTAATTTTCATTAAGCCCTTCTTGTATTATTCTCCCAGAATGCGCAGGAGCACCATCCATTTGTATCCAACTATTTTGTCATATATTTAATGAACATTCTCTAATAATTCAAACAGATGGTTTTCTAGAAAGTTTAGAAATGACTGGGAATTTAGACCGGGTGGAAAGAAGAAAGGCCCACAAGCTTTATTGTGAATTATTCCAGGTCACACATACACAGAAAATTCCTGTTGAAAAGATCTTGTTCGAATTTCATGAGGATTTTCTTGTGACCAAATATGCAGATTGTGAAAATTCATTATCCCTTGCCTTGTGAACGTAGCCTCATCGGTCCAAAGTATTTTTATTAAGAATTCTGGATTATGTTGCGACATGTTCAACAACCACTGACAAAAATTCAGACTTCTCTTTGCATCTTCCGGCAGTAAATTTTACACAGGTTGTAAATGGTATGGACTTCTGCCATCCTTATGTAGAACTTTTAAAATTTTCGATTTACTCACCCCAAGTTGCCGAGACGCTCTTCGTGTACTTAGCCGAGGATTCTCTTAAAATTTCATTTCTGTGCCTATCATTTCGCCCATAATGATTTTTCCAAATATCGTTTTAACCCAAAAAGACGAAAGCGACGATAGGTTTCAATAAACACTTTGGCGTTCGGTTGACGCCTGCTTGGATAATGTCTCTGATATTCACATACAGCTTCTTCAGCAATACCATTAACAAATCTATAAATAAAATGGATAACTGCATATTCTTCGTTACTTATCTTTTGTGGCATAATGTACCTATTAATAACTAGAATACTTTGACAGTGCTCTTTACGTTGACAACAATGAATTTGTTTCAGGGTTGGTTGTTAAGCCCGGTAACTACATATTTTATATTAAGAATAATATTTTATTTCATATCGGGTGGGTGGACTGGGTGGTTTGCATTTTGAACAATTATTGTTGTAAATACGTAATGTTAATTATGTTTCTTGTTTAGTTTTTGCTTGGCAAATTTAATTTTATTATTATTTTGATTTAAGTTGTTCTTATTTGTAAAGATAGTGGGTTAGGCTTCCACGAGAAACTAAAACGTGTAAGGAACTCTACCTCACAATTGGTGTGGAAACAAGTGTAAAGAATTTTGTAGATGTACTTACAAATTGTACTTACTTTTAACCATAAACATAAATATTCTTGTAACATTATGGTTAAAAGAGTCTGCCACAAGAAGATTTGTATTGGTATAAAAAACTTGAAACAGCAAATCTCAGGAAAAAATAGTGTATTTTTTCTAAAAAATAAATTTTAGAAGCCTTCAGGGATAATACAACTATTTGGAAATCTTTTCCGTAAAGCCAAGAATAAAAAATTTAAGGAAATAATTTTTCAATAAGACCTTGTACATTAAAATTACATCTACTACACACAATTTATTCCAGGTATTCCACAATATTCTAAGTAATCTGTTATTCCAATGTATTCTGTATACGGAATAAAAATATTTCAAAACACTGCGTCCATATATCATTTTTTTTATATAGAATATTACATATATTCCAGGTTATTCCATCATATTCTGGGTTATTCCGATGTATTCCTGTCGTATTTCTATTAAAACATACACTTAATCCCACTAGTGGATCACCCTTCGATTTATGTATTGAACAGAATGGAAGGCATTTTGAACACATGAAATATTTTCAAGTTTATAATGCTATGTTATTATTTTAATTATTAAATTATTACTTGGTGATATACTTTATTTTTGAATCAAGGCTGGGATAGAATTCCCTAGATGTGACTGTTGTAAAGTTGTTCTTATTGTTTTTTAATTTTAAATGGAAGTATTATGTAGCAGATTTTTGTTATACCATTGAAAAGGTGAGTAAATTGTCGCAGGTTTTATGGAAACACCTGCTTTATTTTTTTATAGAATGTTTTTTATGATTTTTGTTCATTTTCTGGCACTAGAATAATGTTTATTTTTGTATATTGGAATGTGCCTTTTATTTTTTATAAGTTTTGTTTATAACAAATTGTTTAAACGGCAGTAAGCAAATATTTGTATCAGGTGGCAAATATTTTGGAGTCCATCTTGATACAGGGTGATTTTTTTATTTTCACCAAAATGTATTTTGACTGTTGAACCATTCGTTTTTGGTGTGTATAATCATATATCACTGGGAGCCAAGCTCTTGAAGTCTTGAAGTCTAGTTTTCTAATTTCTAATTTCTACTTCCATGTGGCATATTGAAAGTATATGAACTAGTGAGAAAACCTTGTATTTAATTTTTTTGTCACACCTTTTTCAACTGCTAAATTCAGGAGATTCTTTTTTAATCAGCATCTTAACATTATTTTAAGAAAAAGAGCCTATGTTTTAATTTCACAGTTCTGTAATAATATTATGACTTTTATTACTGTACATTTATAGATTTTAAAGGTCCTAATGGAAAAAAATTTGTTCACTTGTTATATAGGTGAAATTTCCTATGTATATTTGTAAAAAACAATTGCAAAACTTATAAATGGAACTCAAATTCATGAATGATGGAATTTTGAATGTTTTACTTCTACATCAATGAAGAATAAGGCACTTAGTACCTAATACTTTTTCTTAACTTTACTTAAAGAGGGAAAAATAATCATTGTTTGTTTAACTTTAGAATTATAGTACATAATCGGTAAGTTCCTTTTACTATTTTAAACAATTTGCAGTAGAACAAGACCACAAGAACAGTGAGCATTTACTAACTAAATATAATATACAATATAAATTAATCTTTACAAAACAATTTAAAAACTGGTTACCTAAATACATATGAAATATTGAGTGATCATAAGAATATAGTGGATTATTGTCATTAGATCAGTTGCTATGCAACGGTTCATAATAATAAATATTTTCCTCGATTCCAACTATTGAAGAAATTTCTAATATAAGCATATATTTAAGGTACCTATATAATATATTTAAATGTATAGATGTTTGGCAAAGAAATTATTAATAGCTGCTTACAACTAATCTTGTTTTTTTTAAATCTTGTTACACAAAAAAAACAGTTGCATTTGACACATTTGCTTTGAGTGAACTAATTATTTAAAAAATAGAGAAATATATAGGAGGAACTTCTCAGATACATACATATTCTCCCATTAAGATCCAGAAATTTTTAAATTTTGTGTAAGTTGTAATACCGAAATGAATAATGCTAAAACAATATTGAAAAATTGTTAAAAAAAATATGTTATTACAATTTCATTATTTCAGAAGTCGATAAAAGTGTGACAAAAAATCTAAAGTAACGTGAATAAAAATGTTATCATTAAAATATGAAATTTTTAATCCAGTAAGAAATTGTGGCATTATTAATTAAAAGAAATACAATACAAAATATGTTACCATAATTTCATTGATTCAAAGGAAAGTATGACAGAAAAATTAAATGCATGGTTTTTATCACTGATTCATGTACTTTTAATATGTTTTATAAAGTAGAAAAATATACAGGGTGGACTTTTTGGAAGGGCCACAAAAAATAAGAATATTCCCAATACACCCCTGGAATTTTGGAAGAGTATTTTTGTTTCATTACAATAACAATAATTATATATGTATTAAAAATACAATCGAGACTTACTTCATCCCCGCTGTCCTCAATGTCAATTTCATCATCAGAATCATCACTGGAATAGGGTGATGGTACTCCTCTCTTTCTTAATGCTTGACTTATACTGGGAGGAATGATACGGTTAATTTCAAGTGCATTTCGACCACCATATGTTTCTACTTCTACATTAAGTTTTTCACAGTGTAGCAAAAACTGCACTGTTGCCTCATCTCTCCGTTCAACAGCATAATGTAAAGCTGTATATCCCATACATCCTTCCCTGGCATTGATATCTACACCATACCATACTAGATGTCTCAGCACTTCAACATGTCCATGTAAAGCCGCAACATGTGCACAGGTTTGACCTGAAAAAGTATTTTTTTTTTATTTTAGAATTTACTAATGAGGAGAACTCCTAGTTATCGACGAAAAGTTGAAAATTTTTTTATTTTTCTAATTGAAAAAGGAAAAAGGTGAATTTTTTAAACTCAGACACTGTTAAGACACTTTTTGTAGGGAATTGAAATATGTCCTCAGTTGATTGCCAAATAACTTGCCGAAAAGAAATTTGAATTGAACTTTTTTTCATTTTGCAGTTATGAACGAAATATTGAAAATATTGATTTTCGTTTTTATTTTAACAGAAAATATGTTAAAGAATCAATAGTGTAACACTATATGTAGGAATATGACAGTGTATAGGGGGTATAAGCTTCAATGTGTAACAAATGTTCAGTCATAACCACTTGGCACAGGAGTGGTCGGATCGGAGTGATTTTGGTATACATAATTGTAAAGGTTGAACATTTGTGCGCCAAATAGAAGGGCATCCTACAAATTACAGGGGTGGTAGTGAACTTCTACAATTTGGCTGTTTTTATAAGGTTAGGCCGATGATTAAATGTGCTATAAGTGAATTTAGAGTGAAAACTAACAATAAGTTTTCCAAGACGTATAGTGTAGGGAGGGGATGAATTTGTGTGTAAGGATGGCAAATCAATATACGGTTTTCAAAGGCAAAACAAATGAAACTTTGTAGCAATGACTTGGTAATGTTGTTGAAATATCGATTAGAGTGTGCAGTTGGGGTGGCTGTAGTGTTTTCAGTAGTTTTCTGAATTGTTTTGTGATTCTGAGATAGGCAACAGAAATATAATATATCTTTTATCGTTTTGAGCTACAAAGCGATTCATAATTTTTGGCAAAAGGATATAACTCTATATCTATCTTTTTACACTAGACATTTAAAATGATATAAATATTCTACAGGCGAAATCGTCGCAATCATAACAGTAATCGCAAGAATTCTGCGAATTCGCAGCCGCTAGCTGCTATGTAGAATCGAAACTTAAGTGATATATTAGCCCTAACAATGCTGCCAATCCCATATTACTAAATATCTCCGTTAGCGCATAAATCAAAAAGTTTGGTTATTTTCTGAACAGACCTCGTATAGACTTTGTACATATACATACAGGGTAGGAAGATCCACTTCTTATTTGTGGAAGGGCGAAATGGGCGTTGACTATTAGACGCCTTCATTATAGCAATCCTTGTCTATCACATGGATTTCTGTGGCTTACTTTATCGCTCTCACGTAACTTTTGATAGACCATCGGTACTTTCCTACACTGTATATGAAAATATAATATAAATCTGATGATTTCGAATATAAACTTTTGAAAACAAAATTTATCTAATTTTTTCCCAGCTTTCCAAATATTTAAATAGTATATTTTGCAACAAGAGATAAAAATGTTTTTTTTTCCGTGATAAATTGATCACCAGCCGCATTAAGCCGCGAGTGGGACAGATTCACGAACCAAGAACCACGAAGGAAAAAACATGATTTTAAATTAGAATTATTATTTATTCACTCATTTATATTGTTATATTCATGTTATATTATTTACGAAAATCACAAATTTGACATTTTATTTTCGATATTAATATACATGTCGTTTATCAACCATAAAAATTAACATTTTTATTGTCATGTGTGTGTCATCTAATTTTATATTAGCATATGCATATGCTCAAGACAATATTTAAAAGCACATAGTCCTACAGAAAATGCAACTATTTTTGCGAAAATTTCAGTGGCATAGAAGTACTGCAAAAAATAACAAAAAATTATATACTTCTGAATCTCTGCCCTTGAATTTTATATTCATAAAACTGATTTGTATTATATTAGGGTTTTACTATTTGATATATCAAACTTCATTTCACTGTAAAGAACGTGTATATCCAGATGAACCATGACGTTCCACTTAAAAAAAAACTAATGTTAGGTATTTCACGATGTTTAATTGTTTCTATAACTTTTATCTTTACACTTTTATTTATATCTAGAAAAATAAAGGAATATGAAGTAACACATACGGTGGACCGCAACGTATATAAGTAAACAGTCATAAGTTAAGAAAGTTACTTTTGCAGACAGCTTCAAAATACATGCGCGTAGCTAGGGGAGGGCAGGGTTTGTGCACAGCCCATTTCCCGATTTCCACCCGTCCACCCGTAGCCTTTTTTTAGAATCAAATCAAGACGTGTTCAAATTTTATATATATACAGCGTGGTAAAAAAGTTCTGCATAAAATTCATATTTTCGTTAAACAATTTTTTTTTCGAAAAACGGTGAGACTCGTCGATTTTTATTTGATCCAGGGTACCTTGTTGTGGAAAAAATTTTTTTTCGATAATCCACTTACGGCGGCGATAACATAATTTTTTTTTTTTTAATGACAACGCATATTTTTTTCGTTCGAAATTGATGACAGTGATAATTATCTAAACAACGGTGTGAAAATTTCGATGTCTTACATAACAATTTTTTTTAGAAAAATGCACCTTAAGTTCTTATAAGTGATAATTGTCTACTTACACTATTAATGGCTCCGAAAAGGACAAAGTTGACAAAATTACATTTCA